AAGAATAAGATAAAAGTAATTTGAACAGCTGTCAAACACGTTTTTAGGTTATATACGCTAAAGAAGTATCGCTAGTAGCGCCACCACTCTGCTGTTATCCTTCGGAGGGGACTTTAAGCCCGCGGTCCGTTCCTACCTCTAACCCGCACAAGCCATTCAGTTGGCTTATGGGAGTTCTTAAGAATTTAGAGTGGAACTAAAAGAGCACTTTTGTATATAAACTTTGTATATAATAATCAGCTGTCAAACGCTTATTTTAAAAACGAGTGTTTTTGAGAATAAAGCCGGAATATGTTAAAAAAATATAGGAAAAAAACCGTGGCTCGATTTGTTGTGTTTTTGGGTGTATTTCGAAAGAAAATCCTGGGTTGAGTATTTACCGGTTTTCCAATAAACAGTGTTAATCTGAATGAAGAAATACATTGCATAAAGTCTCTGTAAATATAAATTGTACCTATTTAATAGATACAATAAATACACATTTTAGTAGTGATTATCGTGAAAAGGGTAAACATTTCAATTCAGTAAAAATCGTCAAACAAATAAGTCGTCTAAATTTAAACAGCATTCAGCATATTAAAAGCGTTGATTAAGAAAGTCTCCACTTAACGGTAAAATACCTACCATTATATTATGTATTATAAATTATGTTGCCATGAATTTGTAGGTATATTTTTTGTTTAAAATGCAGTTGTCTGCGTTTTTTAGAGAACTCAAATATAAAAATGGTTGATTTTAAGGTTATGTTTGTGCAAACATTATTTTTTACTAATTTCTTAAAAATGTCCAAACTTAAATATAAATTATATTTGGTAAAGTTATCATTAGTCAATTCTGCACCAACAAATGTACTTACCGAATTGGATCCTTTGGCAAAACATGAAAATGCAACGATTTAGTTCTTAAATTTTATTTACAATTAAAAACACAATAATTCACCATGATCCCTTAGATAAAATACACACACTAACGTAACTATATAAGCATTTACCTAAGCGCTGAGTTTCTTAATCAATGATATAAGGAATAATCAATCGAAATCGAGTACTAAAAAAGTTTTTTCCTTGCAACGTAAAACACAAATAACGTGTGAGATTTAGCGGTGCTATTGAACAAAATTTGTTGAGTAAGACTTCTGCCTTTCCTTTTTTTGTGAAAAAACTACCTATTTATTTAAAAATGATGTATAATCTGTGCTTTAAATGTATTGTTGAAAATTCTTAAATTCACTCAATGCTATCGAAGCCCACCAGATGGCGCGCGCTTTGCGAAAACCCGATACTTCTTTAGCGTATTGTTTTGTATTTGAATATAATAAAAATTAAAAGGGTCATAAAAAAAACATTGTGTTTCACTTGTGAGAAAAGCTTTCTTCAAGCTCGTGTTAATGCAGCAACTTAAACACTCGCATGAAAAATTCGCTTTTTAACACTTGTAAAACAAATAACTATTCTTGTGGCAATGAATTTGCAAAAAACAGGTGAATGCATAAAATCATTTTAATATTTTCATTGAGTACAGTACATATACAGATATTATAGCCGATTATATATTTTACTGCGAAGCAGTAGATTGTGTGCAAGGCAATTAATAAGCTTTTGCCCGGGGTTTTAGATACTATTTTTTCCAAATATTTAATTGGAATATTTATTTATTTGAAATTTTGAAACATCATCATTTTACCTTAAGGTAGTTGTCGTGGTACAATATTGTCAACAAATTTTAGACTATACGCACCGTAAGAGTATACGAGCTTGTAGCTAAGTGAATCATAATTTATTCGCAAGACTGTACCCTGGAGACGATACCTTTACGTAATACTTTCAAATATTTTCATAAGTTTTAATCCGGCAACGTCGCTTATGCTCAACCAATTGATATATTGGATACTGAATCAGTGTTTGAATTTACTGCGGAAATAATATCTATACTCGCGTACAGCGTTGCCAAGTTGTTTTTATCTGACACTAGTGATGTATACTTTTTACAAATTGTTGAACTTTAAACGGTTATTTATAAACAATTGGACGGTCAAAAATTTTTAATTATTTTTTTTAAACTCAGCAAAAATACATTAAAAGACTGTTAGTTTTTTGAAAGCTTCTGACAGTTAGTTTTTTTTTATAACTAAGAAACTGGTACAGAACTACAGAAAGCCTATACAATCTTTGTTAATTATCCAATTTTTAATTGAATTTATCTCGGGTTATAGACAGTCAATCGACTTCAAATTTTAAGGATAATTGTATTGTCATGTCCTTAATATGTACCTATACAAAAATTTAAAATTTTCTGATGGTATGCTTACAGCACGACAACTACCTACCCTAAGTTATTCTATAAACATAGACTTATGAGTGTTATAATATGAAAATTATAAATTGTAAATTATGCTATTAGGAGAAGAAGTAAGTCTTTTTGTGTTAAGCTGAACAGATTGCGCAGAGCAATTGAGCGAAGCCTAGGCCGCCACGAAGCGAAGGCTCAATTTTTTTTAAGTATTTTGAATATTAAAATTAATCATTTAAACTTGAACGCCTTTTTGCAGAAGAGAAATAACCCACAAAAATAAAAAAATCGGGTTAATTATCTCGATTTTTTTTATTTCTGTGGGTTGGTTTCCTTGTGCAGAAAGGCGTCAAAGTAACCTTTTGCAATATCAACGACGAAATTTTATAGGTAAAATTCAATACATGTATCATGGGTACTAATTGGGTTTTAACAGAGAAATAACGTAATATAATTTAATTAAACTTTAATTTACTTGCGTTCATACAAAAAGTAACGTAATTTAATTTAACAGTAGTATTTGAAATTACCTAAAAACAATATTTTAAAGACAGTGCATGAATCTAAAAAGTTTTAGACATATGCACATGCATATAAGCCATGGCTTACTTTGGTAATTACAATCGAAATATTTTTTTTATTATTTAAACCTTTTACACAAAATAAGTTAGATTCTCCCAAAACAGGTTAGATTAGTATGAAATATCCTTGAAATAACGTAATTTAATTTAAAAGATAAAAGTTGGCCAACTATTAAATTAAGTCTTAAATTACATCAATGTATGAACGTTACAAAGGATTCTTTGGTTTCTAACTTTAAAGTTTAATTAAATTACATCTTAAATAAAATAACTTTTCTATTAGAACCAGGCTTTAAACTCGCTAGCGAAAAGGCAAGAATAAACAAACAAATTCTGCACGCTTTTGTTTTTCGTTGTTGCATTATTGCCTGAATGGGATTTGTCTCATTTAATTGAAACCTTCAAAAGTAAGTTTATATACAAAAGTGCTCTTTTAGTTCCACACTTACTTCTTAAGAAGTCCCATAAGCCAACTGAATGGCTTGTGCGGGTAAGGGGTAGGAACGGACCGCGGTCTTAAAGTCCCCTCCGAATGACTATTACACAATAGGACAACACAAATAAACAGCCATACCCCTGGTGGGATTCGAACCCACGACCTAATTCAAATAAATATCATGCATTCTACTGCGTCGTACTATAAATTTATGCCAACAAAAAATCAATGTATGAAAAAATGTGTAATTTTTATATTACAGAATCACAAGATTACTTTCAAGCGGTTCGAACGATTAACAAGCAGTTTAATTGCCGAATTAATACCAGAAATCGGCGATCGCATCGATTTTTTGGATAAATGGGAGCATAAGTTCAACTGGAGCTCTACTAATAATAATAATAATGGGCAGGGCCGGCCCCATGGTACGTGCAGCCGTGCCCCTACACGGGGCGGCAAAATTCGAAAGGCGGCAAAAATCGAAAGGCAGCAAAAAGTTAAATATAATTTACAGCATTCATCCTTTTAATATATGATATTTTATTTATTTGTAATGAAATAATAATTCTTTAAACTTTTTTGTTAATTTTATCTTCCCCTTAATGCTACAACTGCATAACTCGAAATTTTACGGATCCAGTTCTACTAAATACTTATAAGTATGTATACATACCAATTTTAGAATATTTTTATTTATAAATGTGTTCTTCTAGCATCAAGAGGACGATATTACTGAGGTAGGTTTTTTTTAGAAATTATGCCTAATTAATGGGCACTAAAAAGTAGGGGGCGGCAAAAATATTTTTGCACGGGGTACCAAAATGTCTGGAGCCGGGCCTGATAATGGGTTGGTTTTAAAAGAGTCAAATAAAATAAAATAGATTTTGCATAATATACATTATGTTTAAACAATGGATTTATTAGGAATTATTGTTCTTTCTTATAAGAAAATGCATTTTAGGATTTTTATTTTAACAATAACCTTTGGCAAACAATGTGCCGACACACATTTAATTAATTAATGAACAGTTAAAATTTGAAATTAGATTCTTTCAAATCTTTTTTGTTAGATATTGACATGCATTTCTTTAGTGACTATTGCTATATGTATCTTGTGTTTGGAGTCTGCTTAGTCTTTTAGCCTTTGTAAGTATGTATGGATGTGTGTTTGTGTGTGAAAGTGTAATGTTATTATTTTTTATTTTTCTTTTTAATCTATGGTTTTATTAGTCCCTGATAGTCCAGTCCGACGTAAAAAACTTAAACTTTAAGTAAAGGAATTGTGTTAGTTCATTTGGGTAAGTATTTCACCACCTTGAAGGTAGGTGGTGTACGCCTTTTTGGACACCCTGCATGTTTATGTGAAAAATTAAATTTGTCAGTTTTAAAATTAATTTAGATAACCATTTAATGTAACGCTATGATAACGCTGTTACCGTAATCTGGCAGAATGAAAAATGCTGTATGTTCGTGGAACAATGTTTTATGTATTGTGAAGGCAAAAAACCATTTTTGTGATTTCGTGTAGTGACACCTTTAATGAACTTCTTTTTAAAGCGATACACGTTCAACAGTTCTTGATTTTCCACAAAACCCATTTCTAGCATAGCATTCAATTAACTATATCTCTGCATCAAAAAATATTTATATATTTAAAATTATATTTTTAGGGACAATGTTTAAATAATTATTATTTATCTTAATAATATTAAGCTTTCAGGTAGAAATCGGCATTCTTGTGTACTTACTTCTAATATAAAAAACTCTCCTACTTCTAAGTTTCCAGCAACAATAATTTTGCCATATGTGCAAAAATAAATATTAGATATTGGATTTTTAGTTAAACGAAACATCGCCATTTGTTTTAGTTCTTTTTTCTTATAGGCCGATATTAATTCCAATATTCCATCATCGTATCCGACTGCCACGTATGGAAATTCTGGATTAGAACCCAATGAAATTGGATTATTTTCAAGCTCATATTCCGTCACCTAGTAATGGTTAACACATAAGTAAATTAAACGAAAATAATTTTAATCGTAAATTATTTTTTCCAATTATGTATAAAATCAATATTTCAAATTGATATCTGTACCCCAAAGCCAAAGTGTATCAACTTTTTACAAATCAAGTTAAATATTTTTTGCCAACATTTTTTCCCTATTATCATTGGTAAACAGGATTAAGTTTATTGAAAAGAGCAGAAAAATGTAGGAAAAAAATGTATTGCTTGCTTTTTTATCACAAGTATTGAAAATTCTGAAATACCTCCTGAACATTTTATTTTTTTCAAGGTATAATAAAAAATTGGAACATCGTGCATACAATTTATACTTACGAGCATTCCATTTTGTGTTTTTATTATATATAGTTTCTGTTTACTTCCAATAGTGGCAATGGTGTCTCCAGTTGGGTAAATCATGGCTATGTGGCTAACATTTATTATATTATATACATTTTCTAGTATTTCTCCATGGTCATCTAGCCAATTTAAACTGCCAAGTTTACCTATGTAAGTCATCATATTGGACTTACTGCTAGCTATAGAAGCTATTTTTTCCTCGGTCTCCACAGTCCAATGTTCCTCCCATTGGGTATCGTTAACTTTTTTAAACTTCTGTAAATAGCAAATGTTATATTTTATTACATGAACTTAGTCGTGATTCTAGTAATCATATTAAATATGATATTTATAAGAATAGAAGGTTAATAACATAATAATAAACGGAATGTATCTCATATTTTTTTACTATATTTTTTTAAGCAAGCCAGCAATACAACACATGCAAATTGCGAAAGTAGCACCAAATATTTTGTATTATAGTTCTTGATAAACCGTATTTTTAAAGCAAAAACACCATATTTTTACAAAATACAATGCCTAATATGTCAGCGTTTGAGAGTAAATTTTTAAGAACTTATATTATCGAAAAAAATCCATGCATCTCAATGGATTCACCATCCCTTAAAACGACCCTATACTAAATTTTATTAAACATTTTTAAGTTAAAAAGCTTATTAAAAAATTCACATTAATTTCTGTTATCCCATCGCTAAAGCACCTTTGTGAACGTGCATTGTCCTGGTTAAAAATGATTTTTCTTGTGCAATTCGATTTGTTTTATCTAGCTGGTCCAAGAGACGTAGTATTCGATATTTATTGTTTTTCCTTTTTCAAGGTAATCAATTAAAATAATCTATTTTGCACTTCAGAAAACACTGGCCATTCCTTTCCGGCAGACAAAATTGACTTCGCCTTTTTTTGGTGCAGACCCGCTTCCATACATTGCTTCGATTGCGTTTGGTTTCTGGCGTATGGTAGTGGACCCACGTCTCATAGTAACAAATCGGCGCACAAAATCGGTTGAATTATTTTTAAAACGGTCCAAACGTTTGAGAAATTTGTTTTCGCATAAGTTTTTGGTCAAGTGCGGCCCCAGCTATCTCATACACCTTTAATCGCCGATCGTCCAATACGATAGTGTGCATTTTCGATGTTTTCCTCTTTGGTTGCACTTTTTGGTCGTCCTTCACGTGGATCATCTTCAAGAGATGTCTGACCACGTTTCAATTCAGCAGCCCATTTTTGACATTTTAAAATAAAGGGTCAGACTTCTTATAAACCTTTACCAACTTTGCATAAATTTCCGTTGGCGATAAACCGCCCAAACCGAAGAATTTTATGACAGCACGATACTCCAGTTTATTCATTTCAACGAAACAATGTATTTACTTAAAACAGCCGTAAAAAAAACCTGTCGACCGATAAATTTAAAACTTGGTGTATTTATTTGTAACAAATGTACAAAGTTCTTGCGTTTTTTATTTGTCAAAACTCACCATAGGAATATTTATACCATACTATTAGTTTAATTTTATTTCAATGTTTTTTCATGCATGAAATCCATGGATAACTTGACAGAATAAATTTTTGTAAATATATTTAACTATAGTTACAATTGTTCATTTTTAATTTGGCTACAAAATCGTTCCTACTAAAAAATATTATAGTAGGTATATGGTTGTTTTGAGGGGTGGTGATCCCAGCCGTGTATAGATTTTTTTAAATCGTTAAAATAATTTCGCCATATTGCGTATAAGTACCTACCTATTGTTTTTTTGCTCCAAAAATTCAAGAAATACAAAATATTTCGCTCAATTATCGACTCTAAAAGTTAATTAAATTAACTTATTAATAATTATTTTTCGGTCGAGGATAAAATACCATTTTATCTTCTTATATAATAAATAACTAAAGGGTCAAGTGGTTTAAGTAACATTTTTAAAAATAAAGAACAAAAATATTCTAATTGCAAAACCAAATTTATGTTTATTTACAATCACAAAATATAGAGTCTGTTTTTTTATAATTTAATTGTAAAATGTCAAATTTAAACAAAAAATATTGTATATATTGTATATATATATTTTTACTTCTCGATCTCCCCTAAAGGGGAGATCGAGGCGGAATGAGAAGATTATTTTTAGTAGGGTAGAGACGTGGTACAAATTCAAAAAAAAAGAAGAACGATTTATTAAAGTATTACACAGTACAACACGATTTCCCTCCCATGAAAAATTTTAGCAGATTTTGAAAATAGAGGTAAAAAAAATGTACCCGTGTCTCACAGTTTCACGAGATCACGTCATAAAAAAATTTTAAGCCGTCATTCCTATTATTTATGCTTATACAGATTGTACATTTTTTAATCGGTTAATAATATATTTTTTTGTAAATATTTTATGTTTTTACACAATACAAAAAAACAAATATAAAAAAGTTTATATTTTGATTTTTTTTAAATAATTTGTTTTTATTATTTTTTTTAATGAAACACATTTGTATTTATCTTATATTCAATATATGTTGGAATAAAATCTTGGTCGTTTAGTTTGACGATTATATAATATTATTGCTTCAGAATCTCGAACAATTGACCAGCAATATTCACCCAGCAAATGCCTGACGTCTTTTCCCTTGAAGCGTTTTTCAATTGTTAAAATGTCTTGGTGAAAACGTTCGCCATGTTCGTCACTAAAATCGCCCAAATTTGGTGGAAAATAGTCCAAATGAGCATGGAGAAAATGTATTTTCAGTGACATATGTTCTTTCATGTTCTGAAAAGCAGAAATCATTTCTGCAACAATTTCTTTGTAGTTGTCTGCTTTTTTGTTTCCCAAAAAATTATCGACCACTGCAACGAAACCATTCCACGCCCTTTTTTCTATCATGCTCATTAAATTATAAAATTCATTATTTTTTATTAATTTTGATCTGGACCAGTAAATATACCTGACACATACAATGTTGTTACTAAAAAATAAATCTAAAATTATATTGAAATGTACCTGCTTTAATTTTTTCTGTAGAAAATTTTGGAAAAATTATATGTAAAAATTTAAAAGATTCACCGGACGAATCCAGTGCTCGAACAAAATTGCGAATCAGGCCAAGTTTAATGTGAAGTGGTGAAAAGATTACTTCCCTTGCATCCACCAACGGTAAGTTTTCAATGCTTAACTGACCTAATTGACAGTTAATGCGTGGCTCCCATGTAAAATCAGTATAATGCAGCTCGGTCTTACGGCCTTCCCAAGTGCACAAGAAACATTGGTGTTTACAATATCCTTTTTTTAAACCAGTCAGCAATCCCACATCTTTCAGATCGCAACAAATTTTCAATTCGTGCTTATTGTAGTATCACCTCTAGAATTAGCTTCATATTGTCATAATTTTCAGCCATATTTGTGGCATAGGCGATTGGAACAGATGGATACTTGTTTCCAATATGAAGTAAAACTACTTTTAAGCTATTCACAGAGGAATCAATGAAGAGTCGCCATTCTTCTGAAATATGAGGATGACCAATTTCTTCGAATAATGCATGGACGTCTTTACAATAAGCCAGGTTCTTTTCAGAATCCTCATGTGAAGCAAAATATTTGTCAAACGACAATATTCCGTTTTCGGTTTGCTGTTATTTTAAAGTCATCGGCAACTATAGTTTATATATAAATTCCATTGTCGGAGCCGTGATGCAACCAATTCCGCTTTAGTTCTTGATAAATTGGCATCACGAACAAGATCATTGAAATCAGCCTGGGTTATAAAATGTACTTTGTAACCCGAACTGCAGGCAAAAATTCAGATTCCATCTCGGAAAAAATGGTAGTACTGGGTGTTAAAGGACTTTTACTTTTATCCTCAGATATGTTTTCTGAAGGAGCAGTTGGATAATCTTCAGATCGCACTCCTGCGAGAATGACGGATTCTACATCGGGTAATCAATTTTCTCTCTAGTATTGTACCGAAATCCAAATCTTTTTAATTTTGACATGCAGAAATAACACTGGTCAGATGCGTGTTCGGTACGTCGAAGCCAAATTGTTGGTGCAACATATTTCATACAACAATAATCGCATAAAACCTCTGGTACATACCATAAGTTTGGTATATACGTCACCAAATAATAGTCTTCAAAAGCTGTTACTACACTTTTTGTAATATTTCGCATATGGCTTGGAGGTGCAAATAAACCATATACATAACAAAAATTATTTCGATTCGGACACTGCATTTTTACTTTGATTTCAAATGGATGATGCAATCAATTAAGTGCATGGCGCATTAATATAGTACATTAAAACAATGAAATAAATGTTGACCGACCCTCGTATAAAGATTGTTTTGAAAACAATGCTTTTTATGTATAAATGCCGCAGCTGTGTAAATTTTTTGTTTTTTTGCTGTTTCAATTTACTTCGTATACCTACTTTAAATTTTTTTTACTTAAATTAAATATGTTTTAGGTACACTTTCTTTAAGACTTAAATCAATTCATTTAAATATCTTTTAATTTTTAGTATTAAAAATGTTAATTTAAGTAAGCTCAATATTTACAAAAAATTGAATAAATAAAAATTTTAATCACCCGACTTTAAAGCATTTTGATTGGCTTAAAATTGAAACATTTTGTTTCTTGGTTTAAAAATAAACCGTTTGATATATGTGCAAAACTCTGTATAAGATTAAAACAATTTTAAAATGCATCTATAATGGTTGCCTATCCATTTAGTAAATATATATATTTTTAACTATGCAGTCCAGCTGCTATCGAGTCTATTAAATTATGTCGCGAATAGTGTGAATAACATTTTATTGGATAATTATGACGTGATGTGAAAAAACGCCGAGACACGGGTATCATTTTTTTATCTCTATTTTTAGAATCTGTAGAAATTTTTCATGGGAGGGACCAAAAATCAAATTTTGTCGTACTGTGTTATAAACAAAATACAAAAAAAAAATAACATAAATGCTTAACAATTTTTTTTTATTATCGTATTAAAAAAAAGTGTCCTTTACTCCATTCCGCCGCGCCTACGGGGCAGAATGGGGTTATCGGGCTTACACAATTCACAGACAAGTTCTGCATCGTCTTCATCACTCTCTATCCCCGCACAGGAATTGTGAGCCCACTTTTGGCACTGTGTTCATAAAATCCAACCCTCAAATGAAGCTGAAAATAGGTATATAGTATATATACTATATACAATATATATATCGAAAGTTTATAAAACTAAACAGACCACGTTTAGTCTAAAACACAAAAAAAAACGTTTG